AATATATATATATATATATACATATTTTTGGATATTGATCCAAGATGAGTATAACTTCATTTCTTTAAAAACAAATTATAACCGGTCAAAAGTATATATAGCCAATTCTGACAAGCGCAAGCGAGAGCAAATAAGATATGAATGAGAAAAAAAAGCTTCGATCGTAAATCGTAGTAGTTAGCAATCACTATTTGGCGGCCAAAAGCGAGGGAACAACTCACGAATCCGCTTAAATTTAATAATCTTATCCTTTGCTTGTTTGCCCTTTGAAAATATCACATTTTACTTTCTTCATTTTTTGATCAAACGTTCGATGTGTTTTGCTCAATGGGTTTCCTAACTATTTGTCACAATTTATTATCTAGTTGAATTTCCTGAATAAGCAGGAAAAGTCAAATTGAATAAATGAGTCTCGACGCAATTGATCAATATTTTTTAATTTACACATTCAACAAATCCATTCCAGTATCGAATTTCACTCTTTTTGTAGAGAGCGCATTCTTCTTTGCACCTAGCCAACTGTTAGGAAATAATTGAAATCAAAGCATCGAAAATATACGGTTTCTCTTCCATGTTTCAAATATTATCCAACTTTTTATTTCTTACAGATCTTCATCAAAGGGATCTTGAAAAGTCCGGGCATATTCCAAAAAAAAAGCTCTAAATTCGTTCATTCGTTTGTCAGTCTACCTATCCGCCTATTGTTCACAAAAAAAATTCTTCTGCCTACAAATTTTATAAAATTTCGTAAAATAATTTATGAAATGAACCAATTGGCTAATCCAGATCACGTTTACACAAAACAACTCTAGAAGGCATTTGTACCAAGTATTGAATCATTTGTGAAGAGTGTGAAGATAAGTTCGAATTTGACTAGCAAAGACATCTGTCATTTGGCTTAACAGAGCTTTGTAAATACCCTAAAAAAGAATTTAGAATTAAGAAATAGTTGGAAATATTTTTTGAACAACGAGTCATTCATTGATAATCGGTGCTTTATATCAACTGTTGCGACAGATTTTTACGGAACCAATCTTACCAAACATGAAGTATGGTCTTCTTAATTTAGCGCTTCGGTTTCCCGGTCCATATAGGTGATGTGCCTCGGTCTGCCCATGAATGTTTGCAGATCTGATTCTCAAAATATGTCCACCAGCAAAAATGATTGCCTTTTATATCGCTCGATGAAAAATGAATGCTATCCGACTATTTGTCTGATATACATTTGGCAGAAGAATATATAAGTTGCCATATATCACAAACTATTGCAGTTGCTACGAAAGTTGTCAATACGAGAACATGACGGCAATGATTCTGTTTGACAATAACTATATATTGATTGGTAGAGCCATCTGTGAGTAAATTCAGTTTCACATTTACATGGCTGGTAAGCGTTTATATAAAAATAAAATTTGTTTATTTTGTAGTGTGATCGCATACCGTCATATGCATCCACTTTGAAGCAAAGAAGAAAAACAAAAATTTTGTCGCACTTCAACTGGCTGGGTATTGCATTACGAAATGCAATACGATGCCAGGCGCCCCAATTAATTTGTGTTTACGTTAGCATTAAGTCACCTGTTAGAATTAAGTATAAGTAGTGCACATTTTAATATAGAAGTCAATTGTTATCAAACAATTCAATCAAAGCGTTTAATTCGCTAAAAAAAAATACAAGGCGTTCAACCCGCCTACGTTAAAGATTTAGGGACCGTCTCATGCCGAGGCTAATTGGCATTATGAGAGACGGAAGCCGAACAGAATAGGGATACACCCATTCTACCACAACTCTCTGTTGCATTTAAACTTCATCGATATTACATGGCGTTCTGAAGCCGAGCAGAATAGGGATACAACTTACACCTCATCCTTTTTCCAAGTACACTTACCATGGAAGGATTCATAGAGAATCCTTCCAAATAATACTGCAACGCATTTTTCTACCACAACACTCAGTCGCAAATTTGAACATCTTTTAAATTACAATTTGTATGACTAATAGATGATAAATGAGAGCTCAGATCGTTATGATATTAGCAAACCCATCACTCTTCGATTTGAATAAAGTTGATTTAAAGTTGATGTATACTTATGCATATCGTAGAGTGATAACTCTGAAATAATATAAAATGGAGATACAATTGTTGAAATATGAAAATTGCTCGAAAAGTAAACGAATAGAGAGCATTTGCCATAAAATCTTCACTTGAAGCGAAATTTTATCAATTCCACGATTGAGTTATACGTAACAGATCGCAATATACAAAGCATAAATAAAATTTTTATAAACGAAAATTTTTATTTGAGATCAAGCATTCATCGTGCCAGATCGGTTAATGCCATTTTCTGGATTTTTCTAAATTTGAATGTCAAAGCGCTAACTGTATATATTCAAAACAAATTTCTCTAGTAACAAGGATTAACCGCAGTAACTGGCAAATTTTTCTAACCCTTTGAATAATAAATAATTTATTTCGTAAGCCAATTTATACTTTAAAGTAAGTCGTAATAAAAATTAAATTTGCAAAATTTTTAAGCAAAGCAATTAAATCAAAACAAATTTTATCTCAGCGTAAATATAATAATAAAAAAAGCACAAAAAAGAATAACAAAAATATACGAAAATATGTAAGAAAAGTCGATTCGGCTGTTGCCGGATCTTCTATACCCACCACCTCTATTGTTTGCCTAGAAGAAAATGAAATTTTTAATATCTTTGACAACAATTTATCTTTCACTGTAGGAGTAATCCTTTATTGTTTTGTTCCATTTTCAATATCAATCTATGTTCACGTACTTTCCATGTTTTTGCAAAGTTTGGGACTAATATTTGAATAGTAGGGGTAGGAGAATGTTGACTGCACACATGCATAAAGACGGGCAGACAAACGAATATTCACTTTTTAAACCGATTCCGAATATAATGCTGATCAAGGCTTTGGAATGTGCGAAGTTTCCGACAGAGGGGGATCGCAAACGTTTTAACGAATTTAATACACCGCTAAATCTACAATGCTGATGTTCAAATAATATGTTTATATTTAAATTGTTAGATTTAAACACTTTAAAGCCTTTCGCAACACCAATCACGCCCCAAATTTGTTCCTATTTTCATTTGATGAAAATAAAAACCTGTACGTCTTGTACTTCAGGCATAATGAAAATTAAGGAACGAAATGGCTGCAGGAAAATTCTAACGCTGTCAGTTTCTCTCTCTATCCAAATTCAACTTTTAAACCGTAATGATGATGTAATGATTAGATTTCATATAGAAATGCTTCTACAGCTATTCAGACGTTTATGACAATATACGTACATATAGATAGTTGTACATGTGCATGTTTGGGAATTTTATTGATTTCGTATTTGCAAAGTCTCTGCCTTACTGCGGCTGCAACAGACAAGCATCAGTAATGCGTAAACATATACCTAAATATATTCGGCTTCTCACATGCAATCGGTTAAAATTCGACATTGTGTAAACATTCAAAAATATTTTACTGGTGATGATCGTGTTACACACTGCTGCGAATAAGATTCTTTACATCACTTTTTGTGTAATGCTTTCCTAAAAGGTTGTCAACAATATCTAACATGTAATGTTATCGCCAACCGCATCATTAAATATAACTAACGTATATGCTCATTACCTGCGGCCTTCATTTAGTAGTGTGTAAAGACATGTACTCTTTACCTTTCAATATGCTTTCCATATGCGTTCTGACAATACTTCACCAACATTTATTGTCTGGCATGGACTGCTGATGGTAATAACCATGACGATTCAATGCTTTAATAGTGCGAATGTGTTAAACGCTTAAATAAACACTGCACTTACAGCGTCTGAACGGAGAAATAAATACATACGAAAGTTAGTAAATTTTGTCTGAAGCCACTTAAACTTATTGGCAATAAAAATAAGTCGCATACCTACGTGTATTTTTAAACGTGAAGCGAAAAAATAAATATAAAATAAAAACAAGAAGAAAATTATATTCGGTTATGACCGAATCGTTTAAACCCACCGCCTTTATCGCAACAAAAATCGAAAAAATTAAATTTCGATGACCTATAACATTAGATAGACGTTGTCCATTTGTTAAACTTTTGTGTAGACACTATAGGACCGCCCGCAATATGTGGGTAAAGGTTTTTATAGTTGGATGTAGTTTATGGAATAACAAGCAATAAATTTAATTTTTTTTAGCTTTCAAAGCAAAGGTGTACGCAATTTATGTTGTATGCAGTTGGTGAGCTCCGTGATGGAAAGATCTTGCAACGTTTAGGCCAACTTTGAAATCGATGTCTTAATCTTGCCAATGAATGAGGGAATGCTTGCAATGGGAGGACAGAGAGACATGCTTAATTCCTGTAAAATTGTGATACTGATTAGGATTATTTACAATTTAGAAGCGTCTGTTAAGCTTTCCTCCGGATGCTGCGAATGTTTTCAATGAAAAAAAGAATATAACTCGATCCTTCAATTTGTTGACGTATATCTCAAGTCCTTCTGGGACATCCTCGAAAATTTAATATACCCCTCTCTCTCTCTCTCTTTCTCTTTCTCTCTTTCTCTCTCTCTCTCTCTCTCTCTCTGGACGTGCGTATGTATGCAAGTGTGCGCTTATATATTGATGGTCTTGTTTACTTCCCTAGAAAGAAATTTTCGATATAAACTATAGTTTAAATTTTCGTTATTTTGATCTCGTTACCTTCCCCATGTCAAACAGCAGTGACTATTTATTATTTATTTTTCATTTGAAATCAGAGAAATTCTTATTAAGTGTTTCTCATTTATCAGTGGCACTACCGACTATTATTGCCATCGCATTTAACTGTGAGTGCCTTTTTATTTGCTTACGCGTTGCACCGTTTACGTTCAAGAAATTAAATAAAGAAATAAATAAAAATTATCTCATATCATATATATGTGTGTGTATTTTTGTGTAGAAATTTTACTGAAAAAATATCCCTCTCGTTATTTTTGACTTTTTTTACAGATATGGGTTTACGCTATTGTGAATCACCCTTGGTAGGCACATGTTGTACTCATAGTATGGAAACCAAAATGGCCATGCAGTCACGTCTTCAGCTGGAGAAACATTCTAGAGAGCAAATTCTAAAAATTTCAAATATGTTAAGTGCGAAAGCTGCGAAATTTAACGGTAAGTACATACAATATATCTGACTCTGATAAACTGCAACAGTTAGTGCGTCCAAAAAACCAAACTACTTCGTCTGAATAAATAGTTAGAATAATTTTTCAAAAAAAAATTTAAACTTAAAAAGACACCATCTATGTATAGGAGAGAAAAATCGTAAGAGTTCCACAGTCCGCCTTCGTATCGAAGAAATGGTTTCGTAAACAAGTTTCCTGCCAAGCTGTAAACGAGTAAATGCCATTTCCACGCTATATGCGTCGTTTTCATTCCATGCAATACATTTTTAATAATGTTGAATAAACAGTTTCTTGTCTTTATGAGAGAAAGTATGTATGTCTAGTTGCAATCTAGATCATATACTGTATAAGGGTATAATAAATTTTTACAAATGTATGCAACACGTAGAAGGACTTGAGATAGGCCCACCTTTTATTATATCGATCAATTCAGAATCTATTTCTGAAACGATTTAAAGATGTGTGTTCGTCTCGAGCTCTTGTGTTGAACATATAGGCAACAATATTATATATAGTTTGATTAAATATGGTACACTAGCGTGTCTTGGCCCAAGCACGAATGCTATTGAAAATGATCGAGATCGAATCAATTCTTCGACCACTTCCCATATAAGGCCTTATTTCAAGGGTCATTATATCAGTGAGCTTAATATGTAGCGTTATGTAAAGTATTTAATCATTGCCTGCGATCCATTGCATTCCCTTTAACTTGTTTGTGATTGCAAATATTCGAACCATAAGATAGGTTGTGTAATAATAAAAAATGATTTATTATTTATTTATAAACACCTAGCTAACGACTAAAATATTCACTGACAACTCGTCACTATACTGCCTATACCGTTATCGATATGGATATTAAACAAGATTGTAATTTTTATTATATCGCACAAAAAAGTGTTAGCAACATTTAATTTTTAGATTTTAATACCGACACATGAGTTTTACCGTGTACTGAAAACAGTACATTTGGAAAGGACCTTACTAACCATATTTCTAAACACACGGCACAAAGACAAAATTTTATGCCATTATCTTATACCTTTCTCTCTCTCTCTCTCTCTCTCTGCAAAACAGATCTAAGACGCAGAGGTACTTTGCTTCTTAAACAATATGTGGATACTTTAGTTTCGTGACCATTGGTGCCATGACCTCATCGATTTGAACGCATTCGTTGATTGTGTCAAGTCTATATATGTGACGTCATACAAATCACATTAAACATTCTTAAGACAATTGTGAGAGTATGTCATATTGTTGGTATATGATTTTGACAAAACTGCATGAGGACTGAATTTTTGAAGCTCTTCGTCTATTTCCGTTGCTATGAAGAAGCCGACAAATTAGTTTAAAATAAAGTTTTAACAGAGCTTTTTCTACTTTTTTAATTGACAAGCAAATGAAATTTCCATTTATATCGCGAACGACCTATATATGACAATTTATTGGTTTATAAGCAAAGAATTGCTAGGTTCGCTAAAGGAGAACGCAAGTAATCAAACAATGCGATCATCGATTCTTCTAATATAAATAAACGAGAAGTAAATATCGTTATTTATAGATGATTCAACATTGTAAGGTTTTAAAAGTCAATAGCACTCAGTTTCATAACAGTCTATATAAACTGAAAAAGTAGTCAAAGTGATATTTCGTCTTGTACCGTTATTTGATAAAAGAACATACATTATTTCTGTGACACTCTAAAAGTAGGTGATATTAATAATGCAAAACATACAACAAGTGCTATCAGTCGGCGTGCCATGGACGAGATCCACTGCAAACGCGAAAGGTCACCGGTCACGGATTCCCTATAAAACGTATCTACTTTTAATACGGTATACGTTTATATGCATAAATAAATATATGTACAAGAATTAGGTACATAGGTGCTTAGGGAATATATAGACTAACATGCGTAAAGCATGAAGCCTATGAATAATGGAGTGTGAACAGCCCATGTGGTTTTCTGTTTAATATAAATTTTTCACTTTGTATGTATGTCATGCTGGCTACCGACTGAGCAATATCATGATGATGCTAACAATAATAATAATGATGATGGCGAACGTAATACGTTCTGGAGAAAGGTGTGGTTGGTTGACTGCAATACTCAAAACTAAGTGTTTTCATCAATACTTATATATAGATTTTCTATGGCTGCTTATACACCTAAACTGGCCTCTGCCAAAGACGTACACTAACTAACTAATTAATTACTTCATATAAAAACAGAAGGAAAAACAAATTATTCTAAATTTTTTGTTTTCCGCCTTTCTTCGTTTTTATTTTTCTTATTTTTAAATGTGTATATTTTCAGAAATCTTTCGTGAACTGCTACGGGAATCGAAAACAGAATTTCATAACATGTTCACACGCACTTACGGTGTTATTTATCAACAAAATTCCTATGTGTTCTCTGACCTATTCAATGAGCTGGAAAACTATTACTCGCGTGGTCGTGTCGACTTATTAGATGTTATGGATAAATTTTTCAACACTTTGTATCAGAAAATGTTTAAAGTGCTAAACTCTCAATATTCCTTTGATGAAAAGTAAGTATAAACAATAAAATTGAAAATTGAAATTTATGTACCGCACCATGCAAGCATGCTTATCAAAATTTCTTTTTAAATAAGAACCGAGTCAATTACGCGATATATATTGCAATATTGATTGAGGTGTTCGAATGAGAATACATTTGCGCACATTTTAGTTAACAACTGTAAAATAATGAGTTGATTTAAGTACAAGAAAGGGATTCTATAATCGAGCACGACCATCCCTGAGGCACATTTTCACGCAATTGATTTATTTATTACGGAGTGAATCGTGCACTTTATCTATAAGAGCCGTCTCAGAGATCAAGTGGCCCTTAATCTTTGAACTTTCTTAACCGTTTGAATACCAGACGGTTTTCAAAAAAAACACTGTCGAAAAATCCCAAGCAGCGCAATCGCACTGCTTAGATTTTATGTCGAGAAATACCAAGCGGCGCCATAGCGCTTGTTTAATTTTATGTCGAGAATTACCGAGCGGCGAGATTCGCGTGTTTTTTTCATCGCTCCGTCACTTCTATCGCAGTTTGAGAACTGATCAGACGTATTCTTCAGTTAATATTTCTTTACATTATTAATAATTGTGTATTTTAAAATGATTACACAAAGCAACGCACAAAGTAAGTGAAAAATTAATCTCGATGTTTTATTTAACTTTTCTAAATTTGTTACATCCCTAAATAGGTATAACGAATCGAAAAAGAAAATCTCTAAGGACAAACGCAAATACATGTGATCATGTTATCGTCGACGATGACGACTGCATTGTTCCGGTAAAGCGCATCAGACAACGAATTGTAAGTAGTTCAGAGGATAGCGATACTGATTTATCACATCAAAGTTCGTTCAACAATTTACTAGTTGCTGAAGACGTTTCGAATCAACATGATTCTCTGGAGCCTTGCGAAGACTCTGATTCGCGATCTAACTTCCCCAGTCTGAGTAAACCGATTGAATTTTTCGAACTATTCTTTGATTCGACACTGTGGGAATTAATAGTTCAAGAAACTAATAAATATGCCGAGTATTCAAGACATTCACCTAGAGAATTAGAATCCTTTGAAACAGAGATTTGGACACCCGTTACCGTGTTAGCAATGAAAGCATTTATAGCAGTACTATTAGAAATGGGAATTACGAGAAAACCTAATATTTCTTCATATTGGTCTGAAAATTCCCGTAACATACCGCGGTTTCGAAAAATGTTTTCTCGCAATAGATTCCAACATATTTTAAAATATTTTCATTTAGACGATAATTCGTTATATTTTCCACCTGGTCACGCAAAATACGATCCCAGTGCAAAATTTAAACCACTGGTTGACCACGCTAATAAGGTATTCAAATTACATTATAAACCGCACATACAATTATCAATTGGTGAGTCGTTAGTTGGAACGCAGTGCCATTCTAGCATAACACAATATTTGCCAAATAAAAAGCATCATCGTTGGGGAATCAAATTTTGGATGCTGTGTGACTCCGTTTCGAAGTATTGTTTGGCGTTCTCTTGCTATAAAGGTGCAAAAGAAACAATTTCTACCGATAGAAAAAAGTTTGGACTTGGGTACGATGTCGTGGTGAATTTACTAAAAGATAGTAATTGTTTGAATAAGGGGCATCACATTTTTGTGGACAACTTTTTTACTAGCGTAGCATTAGCTCGGTATTTATATTCTATGGACACCTTTTTGACTGGAACAATTATAAGAAGTAAAACATGTATTCCTGGTCACTTGCAACAAACAAACGTAAACGAGGTAAAATACTTTCGAAGCAATGAAGTCTTGTTCTGCGCGTTTCGCGAAAAAAAAGTCTGTAAGAAGAAGACTGTATTATTAATTTCAACAAAAGCAGAAGAGGAAGATTTAACGATAACCAAGAAACGACATGGCAGAGAAAAACGTTTCACAAAACCCGCTATAGTTCAATCTTATAATGCCTTCATGGGTGGTGTCGACGAATCAGACAAAATGTTATATACCTACCTCGATGAACGAAGACCGGTTAAATATTGGAAAAAGGTAGCTGTTAATATAATCAACCGCATGGTTTTAAATGCATACATCATTTACAAAGAAACAAGAAAAGCCAAATCTCGGTTAGAATTTATGTCAAGCATTATTCTTGAAATTGAGCATCAGTGGTTGAATGAAAAACAATCACTTAATTTTATATATAAGGAAAACAAAGCTGGCCAGGCCGTAATTTGCGACAATGCATCGTGTGTAGCACCAAAAATGTAATAAAAAGATCGCATTTAATTTGTGCGCAATGTGGAAAAGGAATTCATCCAGTATGTTGTGATAAACACCAATGTTACAAACCACAATGTATTTAAATTGTTTGTTAATAAATATTTCAAGTTTGTTCCACAAAAATTATAAAAAAAACAACACCAAAATAGAAATTTTTATTTTGTAATGTATTATTGCACTACTCTAGTACTATTGTAATTATATTGCGCTCGACTTCGACAATACGTAGCGCGCAATCAGTTTGTCGACAATGCTCAAAATGTGCTGGTATTTCTCGACATGAAATCTGAACAGCGCGATTGCGCTGCTTGGTAGTCGAACGGTTAAAGTCCCTTCTTGAAGGTTACTCGCAACCATCATAAAAAAAAGATCCCAAAAAACGTTCGACTATTTATAAATTCAATGCAATAGAAGTAAACACATTCAGTTAAATATAGAAATGCTAATACGACGTATTTTTGAGATGCCAGTATCACTTGCTACCAAATATCTCAAATATCTGTTTGTGGATACCTATCACGTTAAATAAACATACATACGTGTTAATGAACCAACGAATAGTGTTTTTACGCACAATTGTAATAAGATTTCAGTAATTAAGCCATGCTTTAGCTGGATGCAAAAAAAAACTTGAGTAAAAATAAAATCATATTTACGCAGGCAACATGCGTCCTTCGTTTGAGTAAGACACAGATTGTAAATAGATCTGCTATGCAATGTTAACCTAACACATTTTTACTTTTCTTAACTTTTTTTTTTTTTGTTTTAGTTTTATCTTTTGAACTTATCTGCATTGAATTATATATTCATTTATCTATGTTGGCTGTATAAGATTAGCTGATGATATTTAGTAAATAAAAACAAAAAGTATGTCTGTCCGCGTCGTCGAATGCGAAACTATATTAGTGGTTTGGTCGTTTTCGTTCTTGAAATTTCGATGTCGGGGATGCACCTCGCTCTGAGCGATTTATCACTAAAAAAGTCGAGAAAATCTTACGACAAATCGAAGAAAACTGATACACAAGCAAACATGATATTTTCAAATCATTTGAATGCACACAGAAGCACGAAATTTGAGTGGTGATGAAAAATTGGGTTGACCGAATTTCTGTCACCAAACTGCTACTGAAACTCAAAAAAATCCAGCCCTTTTTGAAGCCCCATAACATTTTGATAGTAAATTACGAGCTTCTGTAACTTTGGTCAAACAATTGTTTATAATCCCTACCGGCAGCGTCTAATCAGATTGTTGCAAGTGATTCGAAAAAACTCACCACCCAATTAATGAATACAGAAGTTTCTATCTCCCATCATTACAAGAAACTTGACTGAAATGCGTGCCCATTCACCATATAGCCCAGACCTTGCTTTGCTCTTTTCGGAAAGATGATCGATCAAAGTGGATTTCAAAAAGGAATTCGAAAATCACTTAAGCTTAGTTTTTCGCCAATAACTGATGAAATGGCGAAATCTTCCGAAACGTGACAAACGGTCACAAATAAAAATGACCATTATAGATTGAGTAATTTTTATTATTTTAAACCAAACGAAAATGTAATGAAGAAATGAAATAAATCTCTCGATACTTTTTCTCTAAACTACTTTAAACTGTAACACGTCGGTCCACAAGTGCGTAGAGTTGCATATAGCTGTAGAATGATTCTGTGATCAATCTACATGATTTTTAGATAGTGGAAACCGTTCAAAACAAGTTTATAAATCTGTGAAAACAACAGCTCGTGACGACAAATATATGACGTCTTACCAACTGATTAAATGACGGGTTTTATATTTAATCTATTCTATGAATGAATTTAGACGACTTGATTCATTTATAAAGCAAGTAGAATAACTGTAAGTATTTGCCCGTATTACGTACGATTTTACGAGTCAAACCACTATAGCAGCCTGAAAATATGCCGCTTTTGCATCATATGTCACTGACGTTTTACAAAAAAACAAGAGAAAAAGTCTACAAATTCATAGCAAAGCTCATTATCAACTTGACAGAGACATTAGCAGCTTTCGCGTCGCTCTCAGTCTCACATCTGCTCAAACATCGTCTTAATGAAACTATACTGGCGTGTTTTGGTTTGCAATAGGGTTTAAATCGCACTTTCTAAAGACATCTATTAGCGTATCAGAGAAATTAGAAATCAACAAATAGTCTCTCAGAGCGGTTGGTGGAGGACTCGAAAAATCAAAGATAAAGTTTCTTTCACGTAACAAGCTTCTCGCCCCGTATACTAGAAGATTCAAAACGAACCTACAGCGGTGTTCCCCTTAAGATATCGCTGGCGTACATATGGCGTATAATATGCATATAAATATGCAAACTTGAATTCAAGGAACCCATTAATCCTAAAAATTATACGACTTTTCGTTCTAAGATATTCGTTTCCGTTAAGTTTCCTTTGATTAATTCGACAGCTTTGAGATTAAAACATATTGCAATGCTACTACTCGGACTAAAATGAAACTTGGGATATTATCGGATATAACTGTAGTCGAAGAATCAGAGAATAGGGCGGGTATGCACTAAATCTTCATTCTTAAGCCAATTGAAGCATAGGAAAAGAAAGATTTATTGTTTGATTCGAGCTAGCAACCCAAACGATGTCTTTATTGGTCAATTTTGGCACTTATATACTATCACTATGGACAAAAACCATACTTGGGAGTATGCTTATCCTAGCTAAATAAATAAATATTTACAAATTCAAAATAATGCATGAGATCATTATTGCTATGTCAGCACGTATTGCTGCACACTAGCACTGTTTATTTATTTATTTATTTTTTTATTGATATTTATTGGTTCATGTAGGGGTTGTGGATCCACTATAATACCCAAAAATAAACCAAACGTCCTCCTAGTGTTAAGAGTTAATAAAAGGTGATGCTGTACTACTCGAAAACAAAACATTTCCTAACAGAAAGAGAGATAAGATTTTCTTCACACTCTTCACACTTCTACCTTAAATAGAAACGGATGTCTTTTCGAAAAGTTATTAAATTTTCTTCTTTCCAATACAAATTGCTTTCGTTCAAGGAAAGTTTTGTGTGTGTGTGACGTGAATTTAAATATTCAAACTATCTAAAATCAACTTTACCGTATTATCATATATTAATAGGTTAGAGGGAAAGTTCTGTCGTAAAACATCTGGCTAGTGACTCATTCGGATTTTTTTTTTTGTTTTGTTTTTTTAGCTGCTATATAGTATAAAAGGAGCCCTTTTTCACCGTTCATCATTTACTTGTGATAAAGTGCATTTACAACACTGCATTTTGTATGAATTCCAATAAGGAAGCAACGCACCGGTCGCATGTAAACATTTATTTGGAAAAGATATTGTAAATGTTCGTAGTTGTCAAAGATGGTTTAGCAAACTTCGTCCTCTAAGAAAGTGATCGATCTGGACGACCGTCCAAGATCGATAATAATGTTTTGCGATTCATGTTGGAAAATAATCCACATTTAAAAAGTCGAGAAATTGCAAAAGAGTTAAGCATTCATCGTACAACTGTTGGAAATCACATTGAATCTCTTGCGTTTGTGTTAAAGCAAACTGTTTGGATTCCATATGAATTAACGGAAAAGAGCTTGTCTGATCGTATAAGAATGTGTTCATCACATCTGATTAGACACAATGTGGAGCCGTTTTTGGACAAGCTGCTTACTGGAGATGAGAAGTAATGAGAAGTCCTTAGTCACCCACCCTATTCACCTGACATTGCATCGTACAATTATTACCTGTTCAGATCTCTGCAGATCTCTGAGAAATTCAAGTCTGTTGAAAGTGTTTCTAAGGCAGTTGCTGACTATTTTAACTCCAAGGACGAGAACTTTTACAAATTTTACAGGAATTCACAGGTTACCTGAAAGATGGCAACACGTTGTAACAAATAACGGAACACATATAATTGATTAATATTAAACATCTATTTTTATAAATGAGTTCAAATATTTTTTTTTTTTTTTTTTAAGTACGGCAGAACTTTCCCTCCAACCTATTATTTCATTTCGTATTTGAATTCTCTCACTTTTCTTATTACCGAAGCGACTAATAAAAATAGTTTTTCCGCATTTAAGGTAGTCGGTAAAAACATATCTCCTTTCAAAACGTTACGCATAATATTTTCGCTTTTTAAGTTCGCTTTGCACAAATATAATTTTCAACTCAAATTGTAAAACACTCAACCAAAACGAATCTGTTTATTGATCGATATTAAAATTGCAAAAATTTAATTTAACAGATATTTACGTTGTGTTAGTGAGCATATGAAAGAGTTGAAACCGTTCGGTGATGTACCCGATAAACTATCCGTCCAAGTGAAAAGATCTTTCGTTGCCACTCGAACTTACGGTGAAGCCTTAGCTGTTGCTGCTGAAGTATCGAAAAGATTAATAAACGTAAGTACCCGTACATAAGCGCATTTATATATATATATATATATATACATATATGTATAATGCAAAACTCTATAATATAGGTTCGTTTAAACGCTGATTGCACATCCGCATTAACGAAAATGGAACATTGTGGATCGTGTAAAGGCTACATGGAGAAGCCGTGTACAAATTATTGTATAAATGTTATTAAAGGATGTTTACATTATTTTAATGAATTCGATATTGAATGGGAAAATTACGCCTTAGCGATGGACAAAGTCGCCGAACGTTTATTGGGCTCTTTTAATATTGTTATGGTAGTAGAACCGATTAATATAAAAATTTCCGAAGCCATTATGAACTTCCAGGTAAATAAATTCATTCATTTAAGCAAAAAATAAAGTAAATTAAATAAATAGCTTAAGAAAATCCCAAATTGGAGCCAATAGTTAATGCATGCAATGCAAATGTATCGTATCGATCGTAGACTGCTTATCCAAGTTATTTCGTTAAATTAACAACACGAACGCATTACTTCCTTCTGTTTTGTTTTTATGCATTTTGTCAAAACGTTATCATCCCTAGAAGCAAGCGTCAGACGACCCCTTGATTAAATTTGCGATCGATTTAAACATTTCCATCTGTCCGGTGCCGGCAGACAGGCACATTAGCATTGAAACGGGGTCCTAATCGGTTGAAGGTCACGTTTACAGAACATCTTCGTTTTGACAAGTAAAAAATAATTGGTTTCTCGTGTACAAAAAAAAAAAAATCGGACACATCAGCCCAATATTATATTGTATTCTAAATACATGTATTTTTTTTTTTTTTTTTTTTTTTAAGAAAAAGGTGATAAGTGTAAAAGATTCAACTACAGCCAAATATAGCTTTATTTAAATTTTATTTAAATTTCAGATATGTTAGCGAAGAAATGTTTCACACACATTATATGTACAAAGCACATATATTTTTTCGATAATTATTCAATTAAAACTTATTTGACCCCCTTTCTTCTTTTGCCGCATTGTTTTTGTTGCTAAAAGAATTAAGGTGAAGAACTGAAATTGTTTTTCTCTTACTCTACTCGTCAATTACTATTAAAACCAAATACATAGGTTGTTTATAAAACACTTGTAATACCTTTGTAAAAATGAGGGAAAAGTTCTCATATTCGTAGTAAACGCAAACTCGTTGCGGCTTTAATGCGAATAATCTTGTATGAAATTTCTCACATAAGGCATATATATTATATTGCATAAACATGCATTACTTATCGCTTACTCCGTTATTTGTTAGCATTTTATCGACCGGCAGCTCGGCCGCTTCCCGTTATTATAGGATAAGAGCAAAGCAACTAATTGTACCTGAATACTAGACAACACATGACGATTTATAACCGTAATAGACTGTGAGCATGCGAGCGCAGGGGCAAAGACCGATTAATCAGCAATCGATCGTAAAGCGCCGGCGACAAAAAGCCTATTAATACGGTATCGGTCGGTAAAGTATTGAAGACATTCCTTCCTAATCCAGTTAAGGGTTTAAGATTTTTCATTTTTACCTTACATGATGAATTTCTGTTTAAAATGCTTCTATACATACACACTATACATTTATGGGAAAAAGAAATAGGCAAAAACCTATTTGATTTTTAAGTGAAACTACTACCCGAACACTTAAGCCCTGGCTAGATGACGCTAATTCATTAATATGATCGGAAATCGGAAATAAGATAGCTACTAATGACATTATGTTTGAACTGATTCATGTTGTTAGAAAGCAGTTCCATGCCCGCAACATACTGAAGGTGAAAGACAGAAATGAATCTTGAAAGGTTACATTAGGTTGGAGAAAAAGAAATCCACTATCTTTTCGGTATATGGCCGCAATGATCCTTACCTCATAAAAAGTATCGATCAAACAATTTCAAATTTATGCTCGTTGGAAAGGTGACATTTCGCACCAAAAAAAAGATTCCCGTGCTGATTTTTATTTGGTCCTTTCAATTATGCGTTACAGGGTTTTAAAAATGCAAGTCAACAAAGAGAAAGTTCGGCACATTTTGCAGTTTTTCTTCGATATGGACGGGAATGCAAGCCAGGCCGTTGATATTGCGAACGGTATTTATGGACCATAACCGATACTGTAACAGTTAATTATGTGCAATTTTGGTGTCGTCGATTCCGTTCAGGTATTTTTGATGTTAAAGATGCATCTCGCGCAGTTAGGCCCGCATAGAAATGATCGAAGTTGCTCGGTATGGGAGCAGAAGACTATTAACAACGTCTCAACCATTGCATAGCCGCATTGTCAACCCTTATCGAAATACCTTCTATGTAGCTATCTTTGGCAATTTTTATTATCAACTGGTATTTTGAGCAATACCGCACAGACGTTATAGATGACAAAGCAATCAATATATGGTTTTCGTAACTTAACAACTTTGTGTCATAACGATATCGATATTGGAAAGCTTTATCGTGATTGTTGCTTCGATAAACCAAGTTTAATAAAAGATCACGAAATTTAGGACAACAAAGAGTATCGTTGCCTTCCGTATTCTGTTGGAAGTATTGCAAAGGGTACTATAGGTTCTATATAAGACTTGTTGATAGCTTTATAATAACAAAGAAGACAAAACTGAAAAAAGAAAAAGAAAACAAGAAAAGGAAAACAAGTCAAAAAGCTATACTCACTCTGGATGGACCTTCTTCGGTGAAGAATATGTGAAGAACAGAAATCTTTAACTGATGTCGTTTAATCTAAGAGCAGCTTCGTCATCGCAAATAAACAGTATGTACGCGAACACAAACATTCGCTTGGTGCCACATACATTATATGCATTTTACGTTTGTTTTTTTTTTTTTTTTTTTCTTTACTAAAACTATCGTATGCACCTTTAGGGCTTAATAATGAAAAACCGTTCAATTTACTTTTTCTTCCCATTGTAGACTCAGTGGTTTATTTGTCATGGCCCATGTTTATGTGTCTTCGCGTTTTTTCTTGTTAACGTCTATACAAAAAATTGTAATTTATCTAATTTCCTGTAATGGATATCAAAACTCAAGTCATACGAATAGAAAAAAAAAGAAAATGCTGACTACTTGTACTTGTTTGCAAAAAAACAATGATGAATCTATTGTAGAAAAAAAGAAAAAGATTAACATGGAAACTATTCAGCAGTAGATTTTCCATATACAGGCGTCCCTTGTATAACGTGGTACATGTTATTGGTACAACACCTTACAAAATTTGCGACAATTGTAACCCGATTTTGATATATTACGATTTCAAAACATCGGACACTAATCCAGACAACTTTTGTAATAATAAGAGAATAACTAATGAGACGCAAAAAAAAAAAAAAAATTCATTCTTAACTGATTTTTGTATATCATCATAATGTTGAATTTCACATTTTTTTATACCCATCACCAAAGGACGCGGAGTATATTCATTTTGTCAAAACGGTTGCAACTCCCACATGGAAGCATCAGAGACTCAACAAAATGTATATACTCGTGGCCAATATCAATTTCTATATCGATTTAAACATGTCCGCCTGTTTGTCTGTCCACCTGCTAAAACTCTGTTGTTAGCATTTAATGAAACTGTCGACTTCAAATTTGGCAAAAAACATAAGAAGTCCTTGGGCGCAAGTTGGCATTGAAAATCTGTCGAAGGACACGTCCGCAGCACCACGTAAACTGAGAACATCTCTGTCTTTCAAAAAGCAAATTGATTTTATGCTCATTACTATAGCAGATAATTGTGCAAAAATGTGAACGCATATTCTACGGTCGATGTTGCAGTATCTGTACAAAAATGAGAAAATTGACCAAGCCTACTCAATACTATAATGTATCAAAGTTTAATTTTTTTTTCAGTACCCATATAAAATGCAGTAACAATCTTGAAAAGCCGTCTTAAGTATATAAATTCTTGGCCAGTTTTAAATTGGAAATGCATCCAAACATGTCCGTCCTTTCTTTTATCCATCTGTCCGTCTGCCCAACTGCGTAGTAAATAAAAGTATTGCCTGCAAATTTGCAAAAAAAAAATTTGAAAGTGACCTAAACCTTTCCGAGGAGACGACTACAACGCCCTCACGCCTATGCGACAAATACTTTTAAATTAAAAATAGAAAAATTCAGGCGGGGCCTCTGCATGTTATAGAGCAAGAAAATTTAGTTCTTTTACTTATTTGTCTTTTTTAGGAGAACGGTGATGGGTATAAAAGATTCTCGTCACGACTTTCCTACTTGCTTTTTTTTATAACACATGCTCTTAACTTACTATTGCATTTGTATGTACATTTGGAATGAAATTTCATAATAAAATTTTCATCATAAAATTTTCAATTTTAAGACTAGGTCCCGATACAACACGATACGCATGATCTTGATTTACATTATTTCAAGTTATCGTATAGCCTAGTTTCAATGGAATATATTGCCAATTAACCGCGTTATAAAAGTAACAACTGTATGTATTCACATGAGCATTTTCTCATATGTAGACGTGTAAAATAAAAAATTATTTGTGGTGTACGATAATGTTGGATACTAACTTTTCTCTTCCTACATACGAATGCATTTGTGTGTTTACTTTTTGCGGTTGCTTGCTGATCATTTGATTGAATAGATATCAAGTGTAGCTTGGTTTGCTTATAAGCACACATTCATTCATTTATATATAATAAACTTTAAAGAAAATTAGGTGAAAATGTGGTCGGAAAAACCTGACGAAAATTAATTATATATGATGAGGTTGTCTTAGCTATCGTGACTCATCTATCTTGTAATGATTGTCATTTTCACGTTATATATTTCTTATTCTACAGGATTCCGGTCATGATATCACCGTCCGTGTTTTTGAAGGTTGTGCACGTCCTCCCCTTGATCGTTCTAAACGCAGTATAAATCCGAAATTTGGTACCGCGTTCCCTTTCAATTTGAGTCAAAAAGGTGCACTATTGCGTCCATCGTCTTTGCCTTTGGACTCACTTGAAAATGATACTCTAGATATCGATGCTTCCCCTGATGATGCGATTGTGTTACGAGAGAAACGAGTTGCCGATCCTGCATCACGAGATCAAAGTGAAAGTGGAGTTGGTAACAGTGGCGTTGGTGGAGGCGGCGGCAAACGTAACAATAAAAAACAGAATCGGAAAAACGATAACACCGAATATAATGGCCGGGATCCGGCCCTTGATAAAATTATACGCGACATACGACAACGTGTTAAGGATTTAAAAAAGTTTTGGTCGAATTTGCCTCATCAATTTTGCAATAACGATGAAATTTCCTCATCAGCAGATGCAGACGGTATGTGCTGGAATGGTCATACGATAGATCGGTGAGCGAGAAAATCTATTCGTCAATAAAGTTATTAAATTATGCTTTTATCTGTCAGTTACATGCATTCAATTACAACGGAGCATGGTTCGAATCCTGAATTTCCAGGAACTCCCTCGAAAGAAAGACAAATCTCTCAAGTCGCCACGCAAGTCTTTTACCTAAAAAACGTGGTCACGCATTTGCGGAATGCGTACAATGGTCAAGATGTGGATTGGAGTGATCAAGGTAATTACAAAATCAATATACGGTAGTTTCGGTCTTTGACAATATTTGCAAAATTCTCAGTTCATATCTCTCAAGCAGGAAACCGCTCCTATCAAAAGATTAAATTCGATTAACCGGCTACTCGAAAGAAATATTTATAATTAATGGACCTAACCAATCGTACAATCTTCAATCGCACCATCGCTGTCATTGTCGATATATTTTTGCAAAGTGTGCGTCATGAGTTGAAATGCATATTACATATCCTTGACTTGGCGTTACTTAAACTAAAATCTATTCTCATTCAACTCTCTACGTTAAACTCAATCTCTCCTTATAATAAAAATTCGTATGCGAGGCGATGCGCATGCGACTTGTATGTAAAAGGGGTTCGTCTGTCCAATTATTATCAAGTGCTGCCAATTTATATAAAGGAGCAACTTCATATACGCTAAGAAGTATCGTACCTAAATTATTTCTCGACAATGAAATACGATTATGATGGGTAATAATGTATCAGGAGTTTCTTCGCTCCAACATAAACTAAGAAATGAGGAAAAGATATTAGTTCTCTCCCTTGCTTTAGAATAAAACTAAAACTATTAGCACGATGTCGATCACATAAATATAAGATATTCTGTACCCTTACAACTGCATTCCACCACTTTTGCGATAATCTAATATTCAAAAATTTTCTAGCAAAACCATATCTAAGCCCGCGTTATTTATATTATATTTCGTAGATGAACCATATTTTGGGAGTGGTTCTGGATCTGGTGGTGGCACCGACGACGAAGATGACGATGAAGGTTCTGGTTTGGGCAGCCAATTTACGCCCACTCATAATCCCGATCAAACAGATCGGCCCCCATTACGTGTTAATAACGTCGATGATGAAGACGAGGATGCCGTTGACGAACGAACGCATAATGTTGGCACTAACGTTGGTGGTGGTGGTGGTGGTGGAGGCGGCGGTGGAGGAGGCAATGGTGGCAGTGTGCAAACATACACTTCTCGTCCTGCTCACCCTCATAACACAAATACTCTGGAGGAAGAAGATGATCGCAATGACCCCGAAACTGGCGAAGACCTTGATTATCATCTTAAAGCAAGCGGGAGTGCGGGCGTCGCCATTAAAATATCTTTGCGTCGTGCTTTGTTTATGTATTTAATGCCACTTTATATAGCGTGGTTTGGTGGCATTATTGCCGATATGCTGTGATTTCTTATTTAAGCTTTTTTTTAATATTTGTACCTATTTTTTCTACATTTTTTTCGACTTGGACTTCTTTTTGAGAAATTTCCTTCAATGAGAATTAATAAAAAAAAAAAAACATATAAATAAAATAAACAAATTTAGTTGTGGCCTGAACTAGGTTTACTCTAAACCATATTTTAAAAACGATTGACTCAAAAATTTTGAAATCAATTTCGTCTCACTAAAAAAAAGATAATTTTGAAAAAAAAAAAAAATTTTGTTTTTCTTTTTTAATTTGAAGTAAAAACATATCAAATTACAATTATACTTGGCTCTACAGGATAGTCCGATTACAAATGTTTTTTTTTTTTTTTTTTAATCCATTTTCTAATCCATAGGTATCAATCGATTACTGCATTTCCGTAGACTTTAGATGAAAAACGCCTTCTGACTGACATTGCAAGAAAATTAACTTCTAATTAAAAAAATTTCAAATTGATTATCCTATCAATTTTTTTTTATTTGTTTTTTTTTTTAAGTTTGTAATCCATTTTATGTTCTTTTTTCCCGGCACTGTTTCAAAAGAAATGAATTTCGAGTTAGAAGTGCAAGCAATAAGGGCGTATATGAGTACAGGCCGCTAACTTCATTATAATGCAATCATCATGAAATTGTGGCAGATTGACTAAGTTAATCTCTTCAGTTAATAAAAATCTTTCATTATTTATTTCATTAAATAGACACCGAACTACTTAAGGTGATAAAAGCCACAAAAGGCTGCTCACTTACCGATTGGACAAACATTTAGTGCGTTGCGGCCGCCATCATCTCATGTCTTTCTCTTTTTCCTAGCTTCTTTGTGACCGCCACTGCGTTACACGAGTGGGAGACATCTCCTAAACTATTGGTCATATTAAAGAAAATAAATAAAGTTAAGAGAGATTACACTCAATTTTATATTACGTATACTTCGTTTTTAGAACTGCTATAAAGACAGTTCCAAATACTAGCAACAACTTTGTGTGTGTGTGTGCTAATCTCAAAGTCTGCTAACTTCCAAAAAAAAAAAAAAAAAAAATGTGTATTTTTTCATTGTTATCGACTTATCGAAGTAAAAGATTGTTTTATAAACGCGTAAGCGTTAATCCGTTATTCTTACCAGCCATTCTACTTGTCTACAATTACATTGATTCATCCACGAGAAGACGTTTGAAGAAGAAGTTTATTTTTTTTTTAATCACACTACAATCTCTCCATCCATCCATCCATTGTCGTTGTATTTATAATTAAAGATGCAATATTTTATAATGTAATTATTGTCAGCTTGATTGAAAATCAAACAGCTTTCAAACGAAATTTTTATCTCATATCAAATATCCGTTAATTAACTAAACCGAAAACAAAAAAAAAAACTAAGACAATAAACAACTAAAAATATATCTTTCTTATCTCTTCATTTCTATTTTTCTTAACTTTCATATGTAAAACTTAAAAAAAAAAAGCTATTCATCTAAAGGCAAATCTGACTAATATTTGGGTTTGATTTAAATTTGTAATCTCCAGCAGGCAGATGAGCAACATTTCGTATCAATTGGCATCGAAATAAATGAAAATCGCTATATGGAACTTATGTCTGCCATATAATTGCATTGAACTTAAGGGCGCAGTTACTTGCCAATTATTGTGCGAATTGTATTGTTGTACAATGTCCAACCTGTAACCAAAGAATGACATTCTGTAATCTTTTCAATTCTAGGTATAATGTACAGCAATACGCATTAATTTTAAATTTCTAATCAGATTTTAGATTGACAACTCATTTACTCATGTCAGCCTAGCCGTCCGTCAATATGTAAAATTTTTCAAAACCGATCATCACATTATTAGTACACTTTTTTCCGTCCAAGAGATGAATGTAACAAGTTGTTCTAGAATCAATTTTTCTGAAACTAGATGATAAACGATATAAGTTGGCCTCCCCACATATTTGCGAGAAAATAAATTTGAAACGAATTCTTTCCAAAAAGACGTAAAATTTTATATATAAAAAAAATTTAGGATAATTTTTCAAAATAAGAAAAAAAAAAATAAAAAATAGGATTTACTAAGTATACTAAAGAGTAAATAAACTTTTAATTATTAATGGAGGAGATATAAAAAATTGAAAAGTTATTAATAATTTATTTTATATTCATACACACAAAACATTACCTCACTCTAATTGAGAAAAAAAATGAAAAATGAAAAACGAAAAACAAAAACAACTGAATATTGAAAAAGCACCTGTAGGTTGAAAAAAAGATATCTAAAAACATTGTACGAAAGCTTTAACTTAACATTTTAGACATTTCAAAATATAAAAACAATTATAATTTTGTGTGTAGTTTTTTTATTATTATTACAAAAAAAGAAAAAAAAAAAGAAAAAAAAGAAAAAACAAATGTGCAATTACTATAAGAGAAAGATGAACAATATAATATGTATGTATATTTTTCGGTTTGAGTTAATTCTATAACACCTACCCACTGCCCATAGAGTAATTTTTATAAATATATCTATCTGTACACACACGAATGTTCGAAGATATGAAAAAGAAATGGAAATCCAACAATCAATATCGAAGTGCATCCCAGATATAGAAAACATAATGTACGCTTTACCTAAAAATGTTCGCTCTCTATCAATAATGGAGTCAGGTCTCTCAGCTTATCCCCTACAATCGTTGTCAGAAAATTTGCATATTTTCTTGCGTCTTCTATCTTGTATCGATCGTTATCGAAAGAATTAAGAATGCTTCGAAAATAGATATGATTTTTTTTTTTTAATAAAACTAAAATCAGTGTTTGCAAATTTTTATGAAAATATCGATAAATAGCTATAAGTCTCCCCATGATTTTTGCTCAGGCTGGTGGGTACAACAAATTTAGGCTGGAGTTATATAAAAAACAAAAAAAATACAGAATTGAAATTGAAATAAAACCTCTTTATCAAGAAACCTATTTGCAATCGATTGTCAAATTTTTAAGTAACATTAAATTTTAGAAATCTGCAAAAACCTTGTTTTCATTTGTAAATCTCTTAACCATCGACTGACTTATGATGATAAGTTTTTGTTTATTTTTATTTATCTACATGTGTTACTGATATATTAACCCACCTCTTAATATACCTAAAGAAATTTCTTTACCATCCACAAAATTAAACACAAAATAAACAAATCTTGAAGAATAAATGTCTTTATATACGTTTCTATTGTGTCGATTTTTCTTTTTTAGCATTTATTTTATTGAATTTCTGATAATATAATAATAATAATAATAAGAATCGCGGACAGAAAAAGAGCTATTGTCACTAAAAAACTAAGAATGAGTTGACAGAAACTCTAAGGGTAGACTAAAGGTAGACACCTATCTAGCAGCCAATTGGTAAACGATGAGGCGAAGAGTAACCACATACTCCACACCGCTTGAATCAGTGACCCTATAGAATAAGAGAGCGTGTCGGACAAAGCGCAAAAATTTGAATTTGGAATTTGAGAATTTTGACCCTAAACCAACGCCAGAAATATACAAACATAATATTGTAATACCCGGTCATATAGACCACACAATTACTCTAAACGAAACAAGCACTATAGTATACAATCTACCAGCGAGGGAGAAGCAACAGAAAGAACTGGAAAACGCCCCGGGAGACGCGGCTACAAGGTAAAGTGAATTATAGAAGATATAAAAAAAGTGCGAAGAGAAGGCAACAAAATAATGAGTTTAGCAGAAATGAAAAAGCCTTGTAGACCCCATGTAGGCCAACTCCCTATAGTCCAGCAAATTACAACTAACACGATTATAGTCGGCTAAGTTATACACGAGCAAAGGAATTTAGTATTGCATATATTGACTGCATGAAAGCATTTGACTCAATGGCGAATGACCACTTGTTAAAAGTCTTACGAGTATACAAAGTCAGTCACTTGATAATTGAGTTTCTAGAATACGCTATGGATTAGTCGAATGTCAGCCTGTGTGCCGGTAATGAAACAAGTGATCGAATCCCTATCCAAAGGCAGACATTTCAGGACGATGCATTAAGTCTACTTTGGCTTTCTTTGGGATTGAATATCCTTAGCAGGCAGCTAAATAAAATCAAAAATGAGGCCAAATACCGAATGAAAAGTAGGGACCCAGAAATTTTCATTAACCACTTAATCTACATGGATGACATAGAGCTATATTCCCCCAACAGAGAAAAGCTACACAGAGTAGTAAGAATGATCCACCGATTCAGCAAAGAAATTAGAATGAAATTTGAGTGGGAAAAGTGCAAGAGAGTAAACATCACGTCTAGAAAGCTTTGTGAAGTTGAGAGCCCACTTTCCTGTAACGCTGATGATATAATGGAAAGTTTGAGCAATGAAGGGAGCTACAAATATCGGGATTTCTTCAACCAAAAAGTATTTGAGAATTTATAACGTACTGGAGAAGGCACAAAATGCGGTGCAGCGCTCTGTAACGAGCTTGGCACGCGGATTTCCGCAGCATCAATGAAAATAGATGTCAGATGATAGATGATAATACAGTAATATTACAAATAAGCCACGAAAGCATCAAAAGAAAACTGCAAAACAGCAGAGCCCAAAACCCTTAGTGTAATATACCCGGAGGAATGTAGAAACCCAGTGATAACCATCATAACCGTAATAATAATACACAAACATAATCATAATAATAGCAGTGCATTACAGTATAGCACAATATAGTATAGTATAATATAGTATAAAAGTATAGTATAGTATAAAATATATAATACTAAATATTATATATATAGCATATATAGCATAGTATAATACAGTACGCTGTATAATAAAGTATAGTGTAGTGTAGTATATAATATATAACAGTATAGTACAGTAAAGTATAGTATATAATAATATATATTGTAAGGAAGCATTTTGCTCCCATACTAACAACAATTTTGTCCACACAATTTTCCGTCCATAGTCCAAACCATAACCAAGAAAATTCTAAAAGAAGTTACTCTGCCTCTCCGATTCGTCCTTTAAGTCCCACGTGAAAATATAGCTAGCTACCTCTCTGTCGGCCCTCTCCTTGCCGTAACCCCCTCTATATTCTCGCCAACTCAAAGCTCTCTATATGTAAATGTTATTGTTTCTGGCAGCGGTGAAGTCTGCTTTTTGGGAGTACACCCTACAAAGGCAATATTCGTGTCAAGACTGGCGCCTGATACCTCTGTCGACAACATAAAAAGTTATCTAGCTGCAAAAAGGCCAGCTGTCAATTTGAAACGTCTAAGCACTTTCAAATTGGCTCCTTCTGGAGCTATCTCAACTTTTAAAGTACTAGTTCCGACTGAATATATGAAAATTTTGCTAAACAAACCACTGTGGCCAGTTGGATCCTTTATTAAGGCATTCATTCGTTGGTGTCGACTCCTTAGTACTATTGCGATAGTTCTTCCATCCTCAAAAACCTAAATGGGCCCAGTAACTTTCATTTACCAAAATGCTAAACTTGGCGCTATTTTCCTTAATTTAGTGAGCACGGAGTTTTACTGTTTTGCCTTTACTGAGACGTCGCTAAAACCGAATTTATATTCTTCGAAACTTTTTCATAATTCTTTCCAGGTTTTCAGAAAGGATCGTTTGGGTCGCAATCATGGTGGTGTTTTAATCACAATATCTGCCGCAGTCCCGGCCTATTCAATGGAATTTGCTAATCCCCCCGAGGTTGAGTTTATTGTCATTCGGGTAAAAATTGCCGATAAACAGTTATTTGTAACCTTTTCCTACATTCCCCTTAATGCTAATACCTCCGTTTATAAGAATCACATTGCCCTCATTGACGTTGTCGAAAAGTCCAAACCTACTGATATAGTCATAGCATTGGGGGATTTCAATTTGCCACACGTCAGTTGGCAAATTGTCCCCACTGTGACACCTGATAGAGCTATTGATTATTTCAATGAATTATTTGATCGTAATTTACTTCAATACAAACGAATTTCTAATTGTACTGGTAGACTGATAGATCTTTGCTTTGCGAACTTCCTGAGTATAGTTATTAATCGCTGTCCTCCTTTTAATTTACCTGAAGATCCGTATCATCCATCAATTTGTATTTCCTCCGTTGAGCTACTCCAACGTACTAAATCCAACTTCCTGCAATAAATATTACAAATATTTGACAAAACTAATATTTTACTGCTTAAATCTCATCTTTCACACAATATGCTTGATTTCTTTGCTGGAAATGTTAAAACCTTACTGTCTACCTAACAAGTTCGTTCAGAGTTCAGTTGAGGACCTCTGAATTTTTCATAAGCGTTGCGAATCTCCCATTGACGTGCATCAAAGTAGAGTTGCCACGATTGTTTTTGTCCGTCAGGAGAATTTCTAAAAAAGTTTTCCGGTTGCTTAAAGGTTTACAAGACAACAAAATGGACGATTGAACTCCGCTAGTTATTCTCTGTAGTTTGATTTTGTAGCGCGAAACAACAACAAAAAGTCTCGATCGTAAACAAAAACAATGGAAATTAAGTTATGAGCATTAATTAGATAACTTCTTAATGATAAATTTTTTTTAATGTTATCATTTTTGCGATTTTTCGATCTTGTTCTCGCTTCCTTCGTTTTACTTATCGCCACTATAGAATTGGAATGCTCGCCATAAAGAATACATTTTAAAATGTCCCAATTTGCATTTGTATCGTTTCCTGAGGGGTAATCACGTATGACAATTTTAGCCGTTCTTGCAAACAGCTGATTATAAGAACGAAATCTAACTTTCAGCTATGTGATTTCCCCTCTGATATAATGTAAAATTGACGAAGAATTTGACTAACAAGTAAAGAAATGATCAAACATTCGCGCTATCAATCGATTTTTTGTGATAGGAAAATGACCCCATTAGCCAATTCAGCGAATGTGTTAGACAAGTTATACACAAGTAGAATAGAATTAAACTGTACATTATACTGCGGTCGATGAGCATTTGATTTGGATTAAATATAATCACGTAAAATTTAATAATAAAATAATAATAAAATAAAATTGACGAATAAATAAACGAAAAATTTGTTTTAAACTGAAAAGACTGCGCGAGCTATTAAGAAATTTATGTTCTGTGTCAAATCTTCTACTTTCGAAAAAAAATATTTTGATAGTCAAGCATTTAGGTTGCAATAATATACAAATTAGAATTAACTTTTCAATAGAAAATCGTACAGCAGTGCGTATAGCAAATGTATACAACTAGTTATTTGTTTTAATGATAACTTGCATTCAATGTGTCGTTATCTTCGAGTTTGCCATTTTTACAAAGAAGGTTTCTATATATCGATAGGCAACAATATTATCGATAGCTGTGATAAACGATCGTAGACGAGAAGTTGCGGCTTTGCTCGGGTTAGGCAGATTGAGTTAGTTTAAGCGCGCAGCTTGTTTAAAATAGAAAGAAAAAAGTCGCATACATAATTTTGTGGAATTAAATTAATTCTGAATTATTTGAGTTAAATGTTCTATTTATATGACCGAAGTTCCCATTGAAAAATCTAAAAGGAACTAAGCAAGCAGTTTTTTTACGTTTTATACAACAAAAGAAATTGTCGATTGAATACACATTAAGTGAAATTTTTCATTTTTCCTAATTTCTTGTTAGAAGAGAAAATTTAAAGCACGTAAACATGTCTTCGAAAACTGATGATAAAGGGGCAGAAATACCAGAAAGATTATATGATTCTTCGGCCGGCAAAACATATAAACGCATGAGATTTTTCGGCAAGGTAAGTGTGCGTCTGCTAAAAAAGCGATTTAAGCTTCGAATTCTCCAATAGAGTCCCCATTTTATTTATCTATGATTGTAGTAGTACATTTTTTGTGTTTGCGTTTGGCAATATCTCTAGTTGCGGCTGTGCAGGGTCGTTAGAATGCTTCAATTGTTAAAAGTCAGGGATGTTAATTTTTAAAGCGATTGTTTTAAAAATTGAAATTTTCTTAACATATTTTTCGTTTGCATCTGTTATACTATTTCTTATTTAAAGCAAAATTCATTGTTATAGGGTGGATTTGCAAAATGTTATGAAATTGTAGATGTGGCGACAAATGAAGTGTATGCTGGTAAAATTGTTTCAAAGAAGCTCTTAATGAAACATAACCAAAAAGAGAAAATGACCCAGGAAATTACCATACACAGTTCTATAAGTCATCCTAACATTGTTAAATTTCATGGTTTCTTCGAAGACAATTACAACATTTACATCGTTTTGGAACTGTGCAAAAAAAGAGTAAGTGACTTTCTTTTAAATCTTTGAAATTAAAATTATTTTTCCTTTCTATAGTCTATGATGGAATTACACAAACGTCGGAAAACCATAACTGAATATGAATGTCGTTATTATATATATCAAATCATTCAGGGTGTTAAATACTTGCACGATAACCGCATAATACATCGCGATTTGAAATTAGGTAATCTGTTCCTAAACGACATGCTCCACGTGAAGATTGGTGATTTTGGTTTGGCCACACGTATTGAGTATGAGGGCGAACGGAAGAAAACTTTATGCGGTACCCCAAATTATATAGCACCGGAAATTCTGACTAAAAAAGGGCACTCGTATGAAGTGGATATCTGGTCTATCGGTTGCGTTATGTACACCCTATTAGTGGGTCAACCTCCGTTTGAAACTAAAACGCTTAGAGATACCTACTCGAAAATTAAAAAATGTGATTACCGAGTACCCAGTTATCTACGTAAATCAGCTGCCGACATGGTAGTGTCAATGCTGCAATCAAATCCCAGCCATCGGCCTACAATTGACCAGTTGCTACATTCAGAATTTTTAACTATTTCGCCGGTTCCAATGTTTTTGCCTACTTCATGTCTGACTATGGCCCCACGTCTCGAAATTAAGGACACTTTAGAACATGAGGTGGCTAATCAAAGAAAGCCTCTAATTGAAGTGAACGGTGTACGATACGATGATACACGTTTGGAGTCTACTTTTCTTAAAAACAACTTGCACGATGCCATCACTGCATCGGCGCATGTTTATCAGCATAATCAGGATTATCGCAGTGACATAGAAAGCTTGTATCAACAATTAACCAAGCTTATTGAAGCCAAAGTAAGAAACACAAATTAAGAGAAAGAAAAAAAAAACTACAAAAATTTGATTTATTAGCCTCGCATGTTAGCCGGAAATTTAGGTGATGAGAATACGGACCCTGCTGCTCAGCCATTGTTTTGGATATCAAAGTGGGTGGATTACAGCGACAAATACGGTTTTGGCTATCAATTATGCGACGAGGGCATAGGTGTTATGTTCAATGATACAACCAAGCTAATTCTATTGCCGAATGATATGTAAGCGACTCAATTTTAAATTAGAAAAAGTTAATTTATTATTTCAACGAATATTTATAGTAATGTCCACTTTATCGATAAGGATGGCAAAGAAACTTATATGACCAACACAGACTATTGCAAATCTTTGGAAAAGAAAATGAAATTATTGTCTTACTTTAAACGTTACATGACAGAACATTTAGTGAAGGCTGGAGCAAATAATGTTAATCTTGAAACTGATCAAATTTCGCGCATGCCACATTTACACTCATGGTTTCGTACCACTTGTGCGGTAGTCATGCATTTAACTAATGGCACAGTACAGGTAAGTGGAACTGATGGTGATTTTGTATAGTTTTTGCATACTTTCACTCTAAATGACCCTTTTTTATACATGCCAGGGAGAATATGTGTGTATATAGGTATACATATTTTTAATAGCGTGAATGGCGAAGTCCGTGTAAGTATATCTGTCTGCTTCTACTACTGTCAGGATTGCAAATTCCAGTTTTCGGCTTCAGCAAAGTTCATATACCTAAACTCTCCTTGTTAACTTCTGCTTAATTACCATTTTACTGCAAAGCACTCTTACACCTTACAAGGGTTCTATGTAACGAACAAATTGCATTTTCTTATTTTTTAATTTGGATTAGGTTGTACAATTACGTACGGAGCGGTGTACTATGGCATAAAAATGTGATTCGTGTGATTTTAAATATAGCTATGCGTAACAATAAATGAATCTTTTGTCAGTGTTGCAATCGAAAATAATGCAAATTTACATATAGCTATTTATCTATAGCAAAAACATGTGGAATAAGTATTCATAATTGATTTCTGATTTTCCGTTTTCCCAGAACAATTCGACTTAAGTCAAACAGAACTTCGCTCTTCCTCTTCTATTATAGTTTTTCTTCTCTTTCTTTTCAGTTAAACTTTTCAGATCATATGAAAATTATTTTATGTCCACGTATGAGTGCTGTCACTTACATGGATCAAGAAAAAAATTTTCGTACATATCGGTTCTCAACCATTACACAACATGGCTGCTCTAAGGATTTGTATCAGAAAATCCGCTACGCTCAGGAGAAACTAAATAAAATGTTGGAAAAGATGTTTTTCTAAACATATTGGGAGTTCTTTCAACAAACAGCAGGCTCTCTTTTATCTTTTTTTATTTTCGGCACATTGAAATCCTATCGCTTACTTTCATTCTATGTTATTCTCCACATACGAAATGCGATTTAAGTGAAGGCTTCTATTTATACGCTTTTTATAATTTTTTATATTTTATTAACAATTACATTATATTATTAATATTATTATTATTCACGTTTTCTAACATTTTAATATTTCTTTATTTATACGTGCAAACAAATAATTCACATAGCTACAATCAATAACAACAATATCCTCGCATATCCGCCATTTCTATTTATTTCTTATGGCCTGGTTTTGTTTGCAAGCATACTTCAGCTGTTTTATAAGTTTGAAAAATATTCTATTTCTTGCTTTTTAAGATATTTTGCCAAACTCTCAACTGTCAGTTAAAAATAAATATAACATTTTTAATAAAACACATGGAAATTTTCTTTACCATATATAGTGTTTTTTAGTACACAGCTTTTTTTAAGTCAAGCTGCTGGGGTTTAATTTTTATGAGATTTTTCCATGTTAATCTTTGATCAATATGGAACACGAGGTATTTTACACAGTTGTTTATAGGGCCGTTATTGATAGTTAAGAATAGTGAAGGACGAGAATTCTTATTTAAGGTGGACATAATATACGTCGATTTTTCGGTCTTTATTTTAACATTTCATCTCCACAGCGAAATCTTGTTAAGATAAATATGTAATTCGTATGAAACAATCATGGGATTAATAGATGGAAATAGGATTGCGGTGTCATATGCGTTTGTCGCAGTTTAAATATTGCCAGCGACCGGAAAATGTGAACTGAAAATTGTATAGAGTACAGGATTTAAAAGATTAGTCCTCCAACTTTACATACATGGGATCTATCATTTTCTCGAAATATGTCTTGAGCAGCAAATACATAGGGCTAGTAAGTTTGAAAAGTAACCGATGGTGCTAGACTTTTTATCGAAGAGCTTTCCTGCATCCGGGAGAACACCGCCGTAATCATTTTTATTTTCATTGGCTTCTCTAATGTACGCGACGACAGGATAACATTGCCGAACGGTACATCATGTTTGGAGCCAAATTGATTATCGATAACAATTAATTTTCGATCTAGAACTGGTAGCAGTCCTCTGACCTATATTCTTTCAAATTTTTCTTGTTCGCAGCATTGTCGCCCATGCGAACTATCAATCAACGTTTGCGAGTGCGTGCATAGTTTGATGTTAAGTTTCTTGACTGGGAAAATAATTACGTATGAACCCTATACTTTCGCTTTTAGATTGATTTTGCATTATGTTTGCCATCGTTCTTCCATTTCTTTTCTCGATATATGCATCTTTTAGTTAATCAGCCCTCGCTTGGAAAGCTTATTTTGACAGCTATTTGGTTGAGAGTGGTGTATGGCTTTCGTCATCCGAAATTTAATTCGAAAAAATAATGGGAAAATAAGGGGCAAATTTAACGTTTGTTTGTTTACAATGATACAATCGATAACAAAACCCTAGAAAGGCAAATAACACAAAATTATGTCATTTTTATTGCAATTATTATTGATAAAATGCAATGAAGAGAAATAATTTCATATAATTTCATATAACTCATACATTTAATTTCCATTTTGTACAAAATATGTATTTACCTATACAGAATATCGAATATTTTAAAATGAATAGCAAATCAATTTTAGCTTTGTGTTATATAAATAAAAGTCAACTTTCCCGTTTTCACAAAACCTCTTAAAGCACATTTATTCTTTATATCTTTTATTTCAATGCAATTCATTTTGAAAATGTAGAAAATATACCCGTTTTATATTTCCTCACTTATTCGCCTCAATTGACAGGCCTCTAGCGAAACGTCGACACCGTCGTCAAAATAAGATCTCTTGATCCAGGAAATGAGAAGTTTATTTCACACAATTTTCACACATACACACAAACATATGTGTAAGTAGATTAACTCACCGTTCCATTCTGGCTATGCTTGCCTTTTCGGTTTATGAAACATTGTGCATTTTACGCGAGCGTCAATATATATTATAAGTATTACAATCATCGTTTATTGCGCAGCAACGAATCACAAGGCCAAGACAAGTGCAACAAGAAGTTACTTACCACCACGAATACTAAATTTCCTATAGAACCACTCTTTTGCGTTAGCATTAATATCCCACCGAATCCATTCAATGTTCCTCTACTACCGAATAATATAATAGCAGCAGCCTAAGATGTACATATTCTTCAACATTACTTGACTATCTAATAGCATTTTACTTACCTTTTTCCTTATTTTGTTTGGTAAGATCGTATAAACCAGTTGGCGATAGCACTAATGAATCCAGTAGACTGATGAGTTTTATGACTTGTTGCCCCGTTGCGCCTCGTCAATGATATCGACAATATACAATGATGCCCGGAAAGATTGATGACAAGCTTTGGCGAATTAAGAATTTTAGATAGGCAAACAATATAATTACAAGGAATTAATTTTTATTGTTGTAGTGCTCCATTGTAAAATAAACGATGATTGAAATGTTCCTAATACATAGTAAAGAGATTGGACGGGACGTGTAGATGTGTAGAATTTGGATTTATTTTCAAAAACTCGCGCAGAACGGTGGAGTTTATGTTAACAGGAAAGGCTAGTATAGTATATGCGGAATGGTGTTAAGTATATGTGAAGGCATTCCAGTGAAACAGCCTATTTAGGAGACCATTGCAAAGGAGAAGCAGTGAGTTAAATTAAAGCACTGCGCATCTGTGTCATTGATCAAACAGAAACACAATCATATTCATTGCAGCACAAGACCAAATTCTTTTGAATGAAATAACGACTATCTTTCCGGTAACTATATTGAACACAATCGATTCTACACATATTCCATCTGTTCAAATGTCTATGCCTTCTTTTTTGCTTTAATGTTGACTGATATATCGATGCTTTTTTCGAATTTGCAAGTTTTAAATGACCTCCGTTCCGATCAGTTGCCAGTCAAATTTTCTCGGAATTTCTAAACCGTTATAAATCGTTAATTAGAAGCAGACATTTTTTGCAGTCAACTATAAAAACACTCTTAATTACGCGTCTCTGGTCAGGAATGAATTTTTCAAGTTTCGAAACGCCTTATAGAATCGTAAAGTAAGTATTTAAATAAACGTAACTAGCGATTTTGGAATATTAGTAAATTGCTGCGTAAAAAACGCAACGTCATTCGACCTCTTATATATCGAGATAGCACACTCTTATGTAGTAATAAAATTTAAGCCTTTGCAGAAAGATTTGTAGAACGTCATTAAGTTCCTTGTAACTTAAGTTCTGGTGTAAGAGAACGTATGATTAATTTTGGCGTAGCGAGAATGAATTCAATTATGGTTCATGTCACAGAGAAGGACTACATAAGTGGTGGGGAAAATATTATTCCAAGTGACACAATTTGAGTTTGATAAGCTACCGGTTAAGAAAGCCAGCGTAATACTTCCCGTTAACTATAGTGCATATGCTGCCAGTTTACAAAAAAAAAGGCTTATTTTTCTGTGACGGTAAAAAGTCTTTTGAGTTTAGGGTACTCTTAGTTAAATTAATTTAAAGCTTTTTGCCTGAAACGTATTCATCTTTTAGATGAATTTCCCATGTTATTATGTATTACTATAGGTGCCCCGCAAGGATTCGTTCTATGTGCCACTTTGTATTCGATTTGCTGTCCTAACATCCCAAAACTTAATGATTGTCACATTGCTTTATAATTACTTAATTTAATTACTTAAATGAATGAGAAATTAAGTTAGATGCGGATAAGACGCAAGTCGTCACTTGCTTTCTCCTTTCACACAGTTGAACAGTTAGAGATTATGGAATTCCTTTTTCTGTTAAGTGCTTAGCTGTTATATTCAAAAAAAAGTAAATTTTCCGCAATTACGTTCAGCACATCGAAAACATAAACAATATCGACATAAAAATTCATAAGCACTAAACAACGTATTTTAAATAAGATTTTCAGTAATGTTTGATTTCAATCATTTACATTGTATGTCTGCCTAGTGTAGGGTACCTGCACTCTAATCTACATCAACAATTTGCAAAAATGCAAAAATATTTTGTAGACAATTATACCAGACTTGCCTAGGTACTTGCACAAAATGACAAATATGAAGAAAAACATATAAGAACATTATAGTCGGGCAAGGCTAACACAATTCTTGTTTTTATTATAGAACACAAATATTATAGCTTGTTTCTATATAAAGGCATATTTTTCATGTGCGTATTTCCGGGGAAACGCTACCTAATGTAAAACAAGTTTAATCTTTACATAGGGCAGGATCTAAAAATAGGCTCAGATGGCCTAAATTTAGTAGAGTTCATTTTTGTATGAATAGGTCAATTTCGATTATCACACATTAAAACTTAGACATTTCCACCCGTTATTAGGATAGGATGCAAGAAATAGGTTAAGACGGTCCAAGATTGGCACAGTAAAGTTTGTTAAAGTTAAATTGCTATTGCGATATAGTTTACATCGTGAAGTATTGAAAATTATGCCTTTTTGTCGTATGAACTTCAATCGTCGTTATATGAAAGGAGGTTCAAAAATTGTCTCAGCGCCAAGTTTTCATACGAATTTAGAATGCCGAAATAAAATTTGCTTAGCCAGTTTTGTCCGGAAATTTTGAAAATTGTAATTTTTTCCATATAACGATTTTTCAAAATGGGGCGTTATGTGGATAAGTATTCGAAAAATATTTTAAATTGTATTATACCCCTGTATATTTATTATTGTTGGTTAGGTCTTATATTGTATTGAGCGTCGAGTCTTCTATAGTCAACTATGCGTTTTGTGAAGCCGAGTTTACATTTGGGGGCATATCTATTGAGATGATTGGAGATCGGATTAGATTGTTTGCGTTTGCAATCTTTATTTCAATTTTTATATCCCAATCTTTATAGATTATGAATCCAACTTTTTCTGTTTTCATGTTGGAATTGTTCCAAACCGATGATTCTTGTAGTTTTTGTTTTTTTATTATAGCTTTTTTTGTCACAGAAGTGTTTTTCTCGCATGGCTTATTTTTGTAAATATTTGCTACATTTTCTCTCATCTTCTTTGCACAAAATTATTTCTATTGCATATTATTTGTCACTGTTTTTATTTCACTCTTATGCGAAGTTATTTTTTCTGTATGTAACACCATTATTTGTTGAAGGTGCTTATTATTTAATTTTATTTGGTTTTATTTTATATTATTTTGTGTTTATTTCTCCATGATATTGTTATTGTTTACATAATGCTTCTTCTTCTACTGCTATTCAGCAAATTAACAACTCAAAAAT